TGGGTTTTCATTCTTATATTTTAAATTGTGAAATGTTTCATGCAGGTGAAAATGCTTTTTATGAATTGCAATGAAGTTTCTCTTGGCTTGACCTTTGTGTCCAAGGTGGCTAATATTGACTTAACTAACGTGTTTTATACTTGTTAACTTTGTTCTGTGGTGAGAGCTGAGCCAAAGCCCCTGGCAGGTATTTTAAGAAATACCATTCCTTTGCAAATCAGACTAATCTTATTGTCAGATGTTCTTTTAATGTGTGCAGGATTGGTCTGCGTGCATACGTTGAAAGCAAAAATTCTCCGAATGGAAACTCATTCCATGTTTTCAGTAGGCTTAATTGAGCACGAATGTTCATGTTAGTTTCAAAGCCATATTAACCTGTGAAGATTTTTAAAAAAAGACGTAGGAAAAAAAGTGCCAACACTTTTCAAAGAGGTGGAAAATTTTCATAACCAGTCTGATTTACAACCTTTTGCCATGAATAAAGTTTACTGACTTCAGGGGATAGTTCTTGACTGTCCATCTTTAATTGTCTCCTTGCTTACTGCGATTTAAGATGAGTCATTTCACAAAGGAAGAAATCTAGCAAACCTGTACTACAAAAGTACTATTCAGGGGGGAAAAAACAGATTAATGTAGTACATGAACAATCCCAGATAAATCTAAGGAGGCTAACAATTGGGAAAATTTAAATCAAATGCAGAAAGGTCAAAACCATAGGATAGGTTAATCTGCCATGCCATCCTTTTGTTGTTCCTTTGCCAATTGCCAGTCAATTTGTTTCAATGATGACTGTGGAATGTACTGGAATTCCTTGTTATTTGGATGTGTTTCACTGTTTGAAAATCAAGTTTTTGGGGTTCTATGATGTTCAGCCAAAGAACCTGTGCACAACTTTCAAGTCCCTATTGTTTTAGGTTAGAGGACATTAGTCGCTCTAAGTGGCAGTTTACTGAATTAAATCCAATTGTGCACTGTATAATGGCGACTGTGCATAGGAACTATGTGTGTTTAAAAATTTGTTACACAGCTGTAATTTAGTTACATTAAATGTTACCAGTTTGAGGTATGGAATTTGATTTAATTTTTACAACTTTCACGTACTAGGTGAATCTTTTACGTGGAACGTGTTGTATCATGCAAGTTGTTAATTGGTTGGTTTTAGGGAAAATGACTACTGCATTTAATCGGGCACCCAAAGGACTAGTTTTGTTGTAAAGAGAAAAGCAGTTTAGACATGTACTGAGTAAATGATGCATACAGTTCAGTAGTACAATGGATGGATGTAACGTACTTTTGGGTTGGAGATTACCCAGTTCTTCCAATAAGCTTCACAAAGGTTTAGTTTCACTCTTGAGAGCAATAGAGGAACAGAGTCCATGGATGATGTAATGCAGTTAGCCAGGATTTACACTTAGCTAAGCTAATGTGAGTGCCAGAACAGCAGTGATGTTATTCACTTTTTAAAGAGTCATTGTGCTACTGTAAGCACAGTCCATTACAGTGTTCTGCAGTGGTAGGAAAATGTCAACCGCAGCAATGGATGTTCTGCTCGGGCCTTGGCTCCTTCTGTTCTATTCTAGCCAGACTTCAGTGACTTCTTAATTTTTTTCCCCAGAAATGTAGTTATGTGAATAACTTTAAAATAATGCCTAACACTGTCTGGTTTGAGAGTTCAATATGTGAGCAGTATTTTGCCAATTTCCAATAATCTCTCAAAGAGGCTGTAATATATTGGTCTTATGAGTTTTATGTGTGTAATTTTCCTCCAAAACCTAATGTGTAGAAAAGAGTTTTGTTACTCCTTCGGATCGGTGGGCAAGTACAGTCTAGGTCAACAGGCTATTTGAATATGAGGCGCCCATTTCCACACATGTATATGTGTGTCCACACAAACTCATTACCAGAGGTGTTTACTGGTTGATGATTAAGACTGGAAATTGCAGGTACCAAGAAACTCAGTAATTCAACCAAATAAGGCATTTGCGAGGAACTGAAGCCTTGGAGTGGGAAGCATTGCTGAGATGCATCCAAAAGTGAAACAGCCCAGTGTTGCTCCAAGGGGCTGAGTTAATCTGGACCCTTTTCATCATGTTCATTACCAGGGAAATTCTAATACTGTAGTAAATAAAAGTGAGTGACCTAAGGTTAGACATTAAGAAGACCTGCTTTTATGTCTACTTTGGTCCTGCAGTTACTGCTTTTGTATCGTGTACCCTCACTGTTTCGTTTTATTGTAAATTCATGAGGTTTGTATTGATGGATTATGTTAATTCAGGAATTTCATTCATACAATTTGTAATCTGCCTTTATGGGCATTTAAATTGTTTTTCTTTATTGCTGTTTTGATCTGTTTTGGAATGTTCTGCTGTAATCCTCAAGCATTTCATATGTTTAATCTGCCATTTTTAAAAAAAAGGAAAGCAATAAAGAGTTTAATCAAAAGACAAATACCAACCTTGGCACAGTCTTCTATCCCTGAGAGGGAGGGCTTTACAATTGAGCAGCTTGCAGGTCCAGATTCTGTGGTTGCTTTGAATCTGCTAATTGTGATGAGCTTTGTTCGTTCTCTTCCTGTCCCAAAACAATGTTCCGCAGAAACTATCGCCTGACTTCATGCACAGCACATCTCTAGACTGATTAACAATGGGTGTGTTTGCCCACAATACACCAGTCACATCACTTTACATTATGTACTGTGAAGCACTTTGATAAGGCACCCTATCAAATGTTATGAGCGTGCAAGGGGCTATAAATATGAACACAGCTGGAGAATATTGTAGATCTCCTCCTCACCTCCCTAACACTGCCTCTTAGTGTCGCACATTTGTACTGAGAAACTTATAGCCATTGCAACTGAATTATTAACTTATTTAAAATGTGCAGAGTCTTTTATATGTTTTTACTGCCAGCACTTTGATGTGTTGCAAATGGTTACTTGTTCACTGTGCACACCCTTGTGTAATTTTTTCCTCCTGGACTGATGCTGTGCATGCTCTGAATATGTTCATTTTACCACCAAGAGGGGTGACTTAGGCACCGACTGGCTGATGTTGGCAAGTCTGTCCCACATGCATAAAGAGCATCACCATTGCCTCACTGAAGCAGAGCTTGTGATATGGTTACCATGGAGATTGCTGCTATTCAAACCATCTTACTATATATTCAACCAACTTACTATACCTTTTTTTAAAAAAGCACATATCAACTAAATTAGAAATTAAAATCTCTACTTATCAAACCTTTTATAAAGTTGGCAATATTAGCTGTCCTGGGAGTTATGCTCATGATGTGATCAGTATTTTGATTCCTGGCTAAAACATTAGTCACCTGTTCTACAATATATGTTAAGGTTCAGTTAACATTCTGGATGCCTTTATTTGTCACGAGAACGGACGGGAATTGTTCAGAAGACCAGCCACTTCAGGAATTAAATGTGTTAAATGTTTTTTGGGTGGGTTTGCAATGGAAAAGAAACTGAGAAGTAAATCCACTACATCTTGTGTGGAATTCAGAAGCTTGTTAATTATTTTTACAAAGATGAACAATGGGATTTCAGTGACTGAACATCTCTGAACACACTCAAATGGTGTGAGTAATTGGTGTGAGCTGAAATCCTGAGCTTGGACTAAACTGATGGGTTTAATGAAGGAAGGGCTACTGTGGGCTTCAAAGGACATTTAATACTGAAAGACAAAGATTAAGAAACACCTGTTCCTGTTTTTAAAAAGTCCAGTTCAAAGAAAGTTTGTTTGGCTATTCACTTAGAAATGTTTCATTTCAGATATCTGAAGTTAGTATTCATTCATCAGATGTATATACAATATTCATGCTTTGATTTTCTATTACTGAACAAAGCCTGTGTGTTACAAAGGATGGCTATAATTGTGTCATACAGGAAACTTAGAATGAATGATTCGATAAGCCCCAGGGGGCTAAAACTAATTAATTAAGCATGAAGCAATAGGCTTATGCTTTAATTGGCTCCATCTACTAACGCATAACCTTATTGAAATAATAGTCATGAATTCTATTTTGCACTAAATCATGTGATAATGTTAATGCGTTCGAAGAAGGTAGGATTAGTACCAACTTCCCAACCATTCATGATGCATTTTTGGTTAATTAAGCAACTCTAGGACCTGATGGTGATGACTGTAAAAGCAGTATTTTGGGGTCTACATTTTTTTTGAATGGTTGGTTGTAATCCTCACTTCTTGATTCTACCTAAATAATTAGCAGGATTATTAGAGGCCTCTGCTACTGAGAACATCCCATGAGATAAGGGGAAGAAAATCTAGCTATCATAAAGCTGTTGTACGAAGATCACATTTTGGAGATGTGCCAATGTTACCATCTTGGCAGTCTTCTCCTCTGGCATTAGTTCTGAGGATCTTATCTAACTACTTTGTCTGTAAACAAAGATCTTTGGCTTTCAAATTCTCCAAGCTTTTTTTAAATGCGTATTTCTAACTAGATCAAAAATGTACTTGTTTGCTGTATGCATGTACATTATCAGCGGTTTGATTCCAAAGTGAAATGCATGCCATCATTTTGGAGACCTTCCCAGTCATTATTTGGTTTCAAAATATATTGTATGTTTCTACATTATTTGGAGTTTGACTGCTCTTAATGGACAATCCATCACTGAAATTTCGTTCAGTTCTTTTGACTTGGTGAAAAATGGTGCATATCAGGAGTTCAGCCTTAATAGCTTAATAACAATTGAGTAAAGAGGAACTGGCTCTTAAGAATAACTTTTTACTTACCTATCCAATAACCAGTTCAGTAATTATCTGCCTGCGGTCTGGAACCAAAGCACATTTTCAGTTGTTACCTTTTTAGCTGTCTTGTAATTGTGCTGTCTAGCGTTAGACTTGCCAACAAGTGGAACAGCCCATCAACATCCACCTCGTTGAAACTTTTCAAAATTTGAAATGCCTTTCTATATTTAACAAAACAGAATTGCTAACCTTGCATCACAAATATTAACTTTCTTTCAGCTGGATGGAGATGACAGGAGTGATCAAGAAGAGTGTGATATGAGTGATGATGAAGATGAAAGCCTAAACAATGGTGCTGGATCGAATAGTCATCCTCTTAAGAACCGTCAGCATGATCACATAAACTGAGAACACATCCTTCCACAGATTCTTGTTGCATCAATAAGAAAGTCCAATGAGATCTGAGAACAATACTTGTGAACTGAAGTATTCAAGAAAAAAGTTATGTTTAATGTACTTATTAGGCCTGCAGGAGTGCTGTTGGTATGTAATCCGTAATAGTTAGTGACCACGTTGCATCTTAGCCAAGATACTGCATTAATTTAGGGAAACATTGTAAATCTGCTGATCAGTAAATATTTGCCCAATGAAGCACACATTTGTTTTACTATAAATATGTCCTCCAATTGGTCTGGTCTGATTCAACATACCTTCCAATATATTTGCTGTAATTGTACAGTTCCTATGTCAACTTCATTTGTATTGAGTTGAATCACTGCAAATCGTGTCGTAGGAGTTTGGTAAAATTTCTGTAGATCCAGTATCATGTGAATCTGCTCTAAGGACTATTGATACATAATGGGCCAATCGTTCCTCCCAATTGCATTGTTATGAACAAGATTGCAAAAAAAAGTTTTAAAATTCAACCCTTGATGCAATTGAATCCTAGATCAACACTAAACTCCTAAATTCTTCCTGCTGACTTTCTCCCCCTGAAATGCAAAGCTCTAGCACAACAAGAGCTAAAACACCAGCCAGTTTTGGTTATATTCGCACAGTGCTAGGTTTACACAATCTCGTCACAGTGGTATTCTCATTAACCTTTCTTCTGCTCTATAAGAATTGATCTTAAGAATGCTTTGCTGTTTTCCATTGTTATTCTGGTCTCGGCTCAGTTCTTGACTGTACAAATCTTAAGGCTCAATGCATTTTAGATCCAAAATCTTGCATCAGTACATTTCCACTCTTCAGACAGGTTAAGGTATTTGAAACATTCAATAGATGGAAGCCATCCCTACACAGTTAGTGGGAAAGCTGTTTAATTAGCTGAGTGGGTCAGACGCAACAATATGAAACAGTAAGCTTATTACTCTCAATAGTGCTTCAGTTTTTATTGTATTCAGAACTTTTTGGGTAGTATTTAGAAAGCTATAATCTTACAGACAAAACAAATCATGCTGAGATGAAGTAAAAAATATACCAAAAATTGAAGTTCCTTCCCTGTAAATGTAACATATAATTGAATAGGAAATGTACTGGTTGTTCTACGGTAGTAATTGAATTTGACAGACAGACTTGCACTTCAGTCAAGTTTGGTTACAACCTACTTCTGTGCCTCCATTAATGTTTAATTCCGCTTTGTTAGTAACCTGTGGATGTCAGTGTTGAACGGTGGCGATTAGCATAGGATTGTGAGCTAATGAATTCCAAAGTAGAATGATGGCCCCTTGACTGTAATGCCACCTTTGTGTAATCAAGAACCCCTTTGTACTGATTAAATGGGGACTTAATAGAGCTTGCAGCCCAATATCAAACTAAGTTGAATTGCAACTGGAACCTTGCCATTTGCATTGTTCTTGCATTTTGGTAGGTTACTGCATTCTTTTAAACAAAGTAACCAAAGTAATCAGAATCCAAACGTGTCTTGCAAAAGAACTATTTTTGCTACTTTTCCTTTATTTATGCATTAAGCAGGTTTGGGATAACGATGATGTATCTTAAGGTTTCTGTTCTGCTTTACAAATGTGAAAATAAAATCTTGTAACAATAACAGTAATGACCTCATTATTTACTATGTCTATGTCAGCCTGGTTCAGTGGTAGCACTCTCACCACTGAAGGTTGTGGGTTCAAGTCCACATTATACCATACGAAATGCAAGGATTACTACTTAATCATGTTACAATGTCAAAAATATGAATTTAACATTCTCTGTGTCAGGCTGGCTCAGTGGTAGCACTCTCACCTCGGAGACAGAAAGTTGCTCGACGGTGCTCGAAACTGGAATCTCTGGCTAACTTTGTTCCAGATTCATTATCAATCCTTGACTGACTAGTGAATTCAGCACAAATTTGGATCAAGTTTTCGATACCCCTTGTCTATGTTGGCTCAGTTGCGTACTTTAAAAACATACTGGGGATCTGTTTTTATTGTTCATTTGTTTTAATGTAGCGACTTGAATATGCACCTAACCTGCAGGGTTCAGGGTTAGTATAAAATCACTTGCAGTTGAATTGGAGAATCAGAGGCTTTCCATTTGTTTTAATTCAGATATGTGAATGCAAAGCGAAAGAATGATGACTAAAATTGCACTGTGCATGTCTGCCCAGTGATTTTGATTCTTTGATTCTTCCTTGTAATTTTGCTAAATTGCATCCTTCAAAATGAAAAGCAACTTCAACCAAATGCTCATTTTAATGATACTTTTTAGTAAAATGTATAAAATAGCTTGAGCTGGAAACAAGAAAGCACTAAAAAGAATTGTAAAACTATTGGCTGCATATCAGTAACTTGTTTATGAAAACTTACATGATTGTGAAATATTCCAGTTAAATAGGTTAACATGAGAAGAAATTGTGAACTTAAATGTGAATGTGGTTCCATGATATAGATTCAAATCATGAATGTAAATTCTGCCAAGGTAGTAACCCATGTGATTGTTTACATACATTTGTATCCGTCCAGAAAATATGATGAAACCATCATGTCTATTCCCTTATCTACTTCACAACTGTCATTTCAGTCATTTAGGTATAACACATAATTCTTGCACTTGATCTTGCTCCTTTCACATTGGGAGGATATCTCAAAACTCTTCACGTGATTCACATAGGGACTGTATTCTGTGGGCAAAATGCTAAGTAGTGGCTTGTTACTATCCCTGTGGATTGCTGAATCTGGAACATGAGTTTCTAATGTGCATAGTTTGCACCAAATTTTTGAAGCCAACAATCACATTGTTTGGCCTCAGAATTTGTTTGGCATAAACCACAACTTAAATGAACCAAGATTTATTGAAGGAAATGCTAATTAATGGGAAGTAATGCACAGCTTGCAATACAACCCCAAAAAGGCCACATTTTAATGTTATTTGGATGCTGCTTGATCCATTGAACAATGGAGCTGAGCCCCACAGGGTTACATTGACTGGAGTGCCTGAGCACAATTCTGGTTCTGATTTCAATCCTCAGTAACTATTCCCATTAACTGTAGCACACCTTCAACTTGAAGTACATATTGATTCAATTCATTCATACCACTAACATTTCTGGTCACATTCCTGATGGTGTGGGCAAAGTCCAGATATCATGACTAGAATCAAGATCCTGGTCTTCTGCTACTCTTTGTCTTGCATGTATATCTATATCTTAATATATATTTAAGTATATTTAATATTTTGTGAATGTTTCGTAATAAAATCCTCCTGCTAAGCTTATATCATAGTCTGTAAATTGAAGTCCACTGAATAGTACAAGTACGGAAAATAGACCATATTGTTTCAACTGAAACCAGAATGTCCATTGCATTGTAATAAAAAGTCCACTAGGTGGCTTCAACACTTATACTGTTGATTATTTGGCAGTAAATAACCCTGCTGTTGGTCTATCAAATCTCTAATTAAAAGTGTATAAGTACTGATGCAAGCGAAAATTTTACTCAATGTATGTGGATGATTTGATGTCTGGTTAAATAGCCTATTTCAGTACTGCAAATTTTTTATGATTCTACAATATACTTCAATGCATATCTGTTTTCACAAGCACTCGAAAGTGTCAATGTGATTGCAATAGAATCTAATCGAAGCAATGACCTACAATGTATATTAATAAAGCAAATATTACCCTGAAAATGTCTACATTGCAATATTGATATCCAGAGCGGATATATATCAAAGATTGCATACTCCAAAATTCACAGTCTGTTAATTGTAGCATTCCATAACGTAGACATTGACTGTTTTTAAGACTTGCACCGAGCTTTTGTGGAATGACATGCAAGTTGAATGGAACACATAATCTTTCCCATTGGAGTTTGAAATTCACAGAGTTCTCAATGCCCTCATGTTTCACAAAAGACTCCCAGCCATGAGGTAATGTCATTTCACAGACTCATCTTACCACATAAGATATAGTATTACCATTCCCCAAACATTCAAGAACAAATGACATAATTGTGGTTATAACGCTTAAAGCATGTTTCTCATGAATGGATTATCTGGTGTGGTTCTGTTTTTACATTTACATGGGTCATTGGGGGGCAACCACGAGTTCTATTTGCTATTTAACTACAGTTTCGTGAGATGGAAATTGCAAGATTCACAAAAGGATTTGTAAATGGGGAATTCTGCACATTACCAGATAATGTGTCTCAGAAACCTTTAAGCCTTGGGATTGTGGCCTCAGATCCTGGTGGGAGTCGAGTTCCAGATTCCATATTTACAAATGCTTTTACAAATCTCACAAGTTTGATCTCCAGTGTCTTCTAAGTGACATTTCTTGTAAATGACATAGTGGTAAATAATAATATAATAATTCTTGCATTTGATATAGAGCCTTATCATGTCTTCGAGACGTCTCAAAGCGCTTCACAGAATATACTGTAAAGTGAATTGACTGTATTTTGTGGGCGAAACGAGGCAGCCAATTGTGCACAGCAGTATCCCACAAACAACAACAACAACAACAAGATTCCATTTATAGAGCGCCTTTCATGTCGGGAGGACGTCCAAGGCGCTGGACAGTTGGGTCAGCACTTCAAAGTGACCAATTTATTATTTTTTGAAAACCTATTAATAAGACGGCTCAGTACATCACACCACTGGGATAAAACGATATAGGACAATTGTGACAACTCTCGTCCAAATGACCTAAACGTACAGACATTATGATTGTTGGATTGGTGGAAAACTGAAAGCTAAGGATGGGAACCTTTTGCTAAATGAATGGCAGTAGAATAAGCAACTGGTTTGTTTAGCTGAACAATCATGCAGTCTGTGTTAACATGAATGTGTGAGTGCAAGTAGTACTAATAATGCTGAGGCTCAGAGCAGCGTGCCCATCCTGTCAACAATTTTGCTGGAAGTACTGAGGGTATGGCCATAGAATTACATCATTTATGGTGGAACAAATTGTACATGGTCTGTGTTGGCACTGAGCAAATGTTCTTTTCTCATTCTGAGCTTTTCATATTCCTACTGCATTGAAAACACTGGCATTTACTGCTGTGAATGGCATTTACAGCCTCCATCTTTCACCTTTATTGTTCCATAAGCGTCCAGAATCTGGTAATAACCCCATAGAGAGGTAAAAAATGTGTCCAGTGTTCCTGATCTTTTCTTTTCTTCAGAATTCTCCATAAATTTACAATTACTGAAGTTACTCTTGCCATTTCAAAGACGTTGAACAGATGATCAGTTTAAAAATATTTTCAAATACTAGTTACACATTGTCACTTTTTAAAGTAAACGTGTTTTCATAGTGTTCACAGTTTTAAATGTATCTTATGATGTTTTCAATTCATGAGGCAATATTTAGGCTTTATAACAATAATATAGCAAATAATCTCATGCAAATTATTCTTTCACTCCAGTTTGTGTTTGATGTATGTCCACATATTAAAAATAATCACATCCTCTGCAATTTATTTTGCAAATTGTGGATCACAACATGCAAATAGTTGTATATACTGTAGTAAAGAGATACAATTTTACCAACCCTAAGTCTAGGCTTTCACCCCCATTTTAAAAAACTCTGTCTATACACTTAGAACAAAGATGCAGTTATATATAACTACTAGCTGCCCAATGTGAATCCCTTGGTAGCTTTTAAGGTTAGCAGTATTTGTTAAAAATATTTTTTTCAGTATCTTAGAGATATGCCACAGTGAGACGTTCAGCCATTTAATTGGATATTGTTGGATTTCTTCCAAGAACTAAGAGACTGATTCATTCCAAGTGTCGCTCGGATGGAAGATTGGGTTTAGTGGCATGTGAAGTAAGAAGGAAACCCAGAGACACAATGAAGCCTTGGGTTTGACAGTAACTATACTTAAAGATGAACTGACAACAGTCTACATAGTACAAGCCCTGTTATTGGTATGTCAAACAATTCAATTATTCTCTTGCCCTTTGGTAGACCTGTTTTGTATGTTCTTCCGAAGTAAGCACGTACAAAACACACTTAAATCAAACATTTGAGCTCCCTGGGTTACTGGTGTTGAAAGAAATGTTTGTTAGTTTTGTCACTGAATTCTAGTTTGTAATAGACGGAAGAGCATAGTGGCGTCAAAACTAACAAAGCGAAAACATTCCAAATGAAAACCTAATAATAGGTTGTCAGTCGATTGGCGGATCAATTTCTGGGGGTAATAATCCCTCCCCCCCAAAATAATAATAATTTGGTCACTCAATCCATGACTGTGATTTGTTGGACACTGCTGTGCATAATTGGCTGCCGTGATTTGCCCACAAAATACACAGTCATTCCACTTTGCAGTGTATTTTGATACATCTCAACGATGTGATAAGGCACAATCTAAAATACAAGGATCATTATTATTGTTAATTGATGTGCGGTTAGAATTCTGTAATCATGCTTTTGTTTTACTCTCTGAACGCAGAGTACATCCATACAAGGCCCACTTTTGGCAGCAAAATGGTAAGTAATGTGTTTCCAAAGCCTCACCCTCCAACATCATCTACAAATATAACTATAATAATCCTCGCATTTTGATATAGCGCCTTATCACGTCTTTGAGAC